GAATTGACGGTGTATCCTAGCCAAAAGGACCTTGCCAGTTTGGGTTAATAGGGCTCTGTTTACGACCCACATGTGCAACACTTTTTGCAACTTCTTTATACGTTTTCAAAGATATCAGACAGTCCATGTTATTAACAATAATAGTCATTCCATTAGTTGAAACATTTAAAAAATTAACATGCCAAATGTATGTTCTAGGAAGTCACAAATGTTTTCAAGATGTTGGAAATAAATGCAAGGTTTACAAAAACCATTCAACACAGCGGATTTGGAGATCTAGCCGCACAAATTAGACAGAGCCCAAATGTTGTGACTTTGGCAAGAAGTAGCAAGTTTCCCTTTGGGAACCCACTAGATTGTGGCTGGATTGGTTTCCAATAGACACATGTGTTACAGTGAGCCGTAGCCAAGACGTAAGTTACCTTTTTCCATAAGCCAGTTCATAAGCCTGGTTGTAGAGCCCCAACATGGCTTTCCTGTCTTCGACTCTGGCCAGCAACATCATGATAGAAATGTAGGTCACCACTAACTCCAAGTAGTTCTTGGTCATGTCAAAGTTCGCCGTCTGTACACCAAAGAAAATATAAAACACCAACGTAGCGGCGATGGCACACATCCATCTTCATGAAAAAGCATTCCTGCACTACTAAACCTTGACTTCTGGATTGACCCGACCAACCATCCAAATCCTCTGGTTTTGGAAGATTTTGGAGGATTGAGGAAGAATGGTAAAACTGCATCAATGGTTGTCAAGGATGCATTGTTTCAAGGTTTCAGCCACGCATAAATTCATGCCTGCATGATATGTGAAATCCTCCATACTGCTCAAGGATACCCTTTGCACCATACCAACATGACACAAACTGTCCGGGGATTTTGAAGGACTGAGGGCAGTGGCCACCCCTAAAAGGAGTGTACAGTGTAGTCAAGAAATAGTGGAGGATTTTGGAGGATTGGGGATGAATACAATTTTTTTTTGCCATGGATAATTGGAGGATTTTCATGGATTGAGGAGGGTGCCTTGAAAAAAGGCCATATGAAGCAAGATATGAGACGGACAGAACCCCCCTGCTTTCTGTTGGTCATTGTTTCACTGGAGTATGGGGAACTCTTTTCAAACATCTAGGGGGAAGTGTTTATAGGTAACAATAGTCCAGAGTGTGTATGGCGATTGGACATGTTGGGGGGGTATCCCTCGGGTTCATATCTTGCTGGATATAAAAAAGGCCTAGGGGGTTAGGGTTTCCCGGTAAATGACAGACTAATTTTGATGACAGGCTAATTGGCTAGGTCTGATCGGCATTAATACAATACTTACAACGTCGAAATGAACATGACAGCTGGATAGCACCGTAAGCAGCTCGGTCACATGATCCTGTCAGAAAAATATGGTTGAAAAAAATTGGAAAGATGAACTCGAGAGACACAAATAAGTGGTCAGCAAGGTTTCTGCCAGGAGTGGATAAAATGCTTATATGTACTGGAATCTGTTTGGCTTTTGTACACAGTGCTAAAAAGGAGCAAAATCCTGAATGATTTCACCTCTAAAAATCCACAAATTTATACCAAAATTCTAAAATCTGAACAAATCTTGAGAAACCACAAGTGTGCACAATTGTGCACAATGGCCACTGCATGCATTTGAAATTTTAATGCCTTAAATTAACCGTAACCCCCTCAGCATTTTTCTGGCAGGCTGACTCAACCTGTCAAGTTTCCAACACCCTGTCGCGGCTGGGTAAGGTGTTCCAACTGTCCACTTGCTGTACACAGCCCAACAAACTCCAACAGGCAGTAAACTGTTTGGGGTTTGGGCTGAGTGGGGATACTTGGTCATTATACCATACACACATGTAGTATAAGGAATGAGAACACTACGTATCCAGTAACAGCAGGGCTATACAAAATTGTACTTGTTTTTTGGGGGCCAAGATTTCTTTGTTTTATCTTTGACTATTCTTAAAAAAGCAAGGTCACCAAACTAGAGTAAGGCCGTTTTCCAATACTCAACTTCGTCTCCGTCTCAGGCTTCGTTCCCAAAACCAATCCCTGGTTGTGGGCCTTAACTGTTTAAATTACATTGGATTACTGTAATTTTGGGCTTTCTTGCATCTTATTTGATGTACTGTGGTACTATTAGACTAATTACTAGGCTTACAGCTTCAGAGTCAGCTAGTTAAAAAACAGTTGAAGCCTGAGACAGAGCTGAAGTTGAGTATTGGAAAATGGCCTAAGTTATTCTACTCCTTAAGTACAGGTACATGACCAAACGATGTCCATTGTTTACAAGCACATTCCAGAAGCATTATTCATCAACCACCCAGCAGCAAGTACTGGGCATAACCAACCATCCCCACTCAGTCAAAACCCAACACTGCTACTGCATCGGTACAGTATTCATCCTGTCATAACCCAACACTTTGTGTAGTAAGTTTGATATGCACACAGAACTCTACTCCTCAAATTTCAACAACCTCTGGTGTTGTTAATTGATGGGATGGGGAACGTTAGGGTTAAGCAAATTCCAGAAATAAAATCTCTCTTTAGAATACCACTGACAGCACGCATGCACCCTTAACTGAAAATGACGTTGTGAAAGTCAATGTTTGCATCAGCGCTAAAATAACTTCCCTCTGGAAATGGCAGAGAAAATAATCCAGCTGTTTATCTTATATAAATGTTACAGGTTTAACTTTCAGCCTCACAGCTGTAACTTGAGGACGCCGGGTTTCATGTGGAGATTTTCAAGAGCTGGGGAGCTGTTATAATTGGAATATGACAAGGAAATGTTGCCATGAATGTTATAAAAGGAAAGCACTGTAACATGTAAGGCAAAGTGTAAAACATAAAATAGTTTCTCGCCTCAACCTATTTCCTTCTTCCCCAACCATACATTTTCCCCTTCAAGCTTTCCTTTTTTGATAAACATATTTTAAAGTACATGAGCACATGTGATAGCTATAAATGGAAGTTTAAAACTTGCTTGAACGAGTGAAAAATACTTTGGATAAAAATTAAAACGTCAGCTAGAAACTTATGCAAGTTTAAAACCTGTTAGACAGGGTAAATGCACTTTAATTTCAGAAACAGTAAAGAAAAAAGAGAAAACCAATAACTTTGGAAAAAAAACCACTGAGGGAAAAGAGAAACCACTGGCCATCTCTTCCATTTACAGAAAATGGATGAGGAATGAGAAACTATTTAGTTTTTTTACTTGGCCCAACTTGTTCACAATGGCCAACCAGGAAATGCCTACAGTTTTCTAATCTTGTCATTCTTGACTGGATTATTGAACACTCGGAAATCATGCATTCATTCTGAAATTCAGATTGATAGACGTGGGCGGGAGAAGGGGCTGACGCGGAGCACGATCTTGACACAGGGGTGCTAAAATCATGCTTGAAAGTTGGCAGGGGTGAGACACCAACAAAACGTCTGCCACAAGGGTTGTGACAATGATGACAAAATAAACTGTAAAAACCGAGGGTTCTTCATAGCTAAAGGTATATGTATACACGCTACATAGCTAACTGTACGTGTACCTGTAACACGGCACGGGTACTCTGCCAAATGGAAGTCACTAAACCTCTCCAGAGGTGGAAATGTTTAGATCCAAAATCCGGATACGCAGAAAAATCTTGAGAAATCTTGTGGCAAACATTTTCCAACCAATTACATGCACACATGTACATTAATTGTCCCCTCAACCGAGGACATGCAAAGATAAATGCGAACGACATTGCCAACATGGTCTGAGCGTGACAAGTCACATGACTTTGATATACAGCCATTCACTGCAATTCTTTGCCAACTTGTAATTTCCCCCTCCATCTCCGAAGAAATTCTGTCCAATTGGGAAAAGAAATCGCTTACATGTACATGTACTTTGTTACATTTTGATGACTTTGATATTACACAGCCCAACCACCAGTGACCACTGTGAATGTGTATATTAAGGGCTCAAAATCCAACTTCTGATATTGTGAGCTAACCTTTTTTGCTTAAAATTCTAGGTTTATAAAAAAAAAAGGTGATGTCGTTGTATGGTTCCAATATGTTACAATTTTAAAACAAGTGAGTCTGAAATCAGACTACATATATATCCAGTGGGGCGTGTCCTTGATGCACACTTGAAGACCATACAGTGTACATGCCTATTCAACTGTGAGGCAGCCCACCTCACTGAATTTAGTGACCAGCTTTTCTGTTGAATTTTACTACGTGCTTCTCACACTTAAAATAGACAAAGATGGAATAAAACAGCAAAATACATGTAGATATTTTGGAACAGGTCAGTTTGAAATCATTCAGAATGGTAAAAGGGGCACATTATACAAGACCGATTTATTTCAGAGGGGAAATTTGGAGTATGTAAATGTACTTTTCGACAATACAGAATTTATTTCTGGCCTTTTTGACAACCACGCTTTTGTTTTGGGCACTAGAATTTGGGCAAGATTTGTTTGCCCACCTCACAAATACATCAGTAGCCCAGGATAAACCTTGATCCCAAACTAGGAACATCTAAAAAAAAAGAAAACTTTTCTTGTCGCTGTTCAAAGTGGATTGGAGGACGACTTACATTTTTAACTTTGACGACGGACAATGAAAATGCTATTATGATTGCGGCAATATTTTGGATTGTTTAAAAATTCAATTCTCACCGTATATTCGTGGATGTCTCTGAACGTTGTGTAATACACGCTCAGCACCTTCAGGATTTCAGTCTTCCGTTGATCTATCGGTGCCAACTGACCCTGCAAAGAAAAATAAAAAGAAACAACTGAACAATAAGGACGCAAAGCTATCACGAAGCCATCTTACTTCAGAAGGAAGTAACTCTCCTCAAGGAAGTAAGCAGTGTATAGTTATGGTGATTTAAATCGCATCTTTGTACATTTTTCACACACAATACAACTTGATAGCTGACTTGTTAACAGCTATATAGCAATATATAAGCTAGTTTCTAAAATTTCTAATAGATTCTAAAGTCTGATTTAAAATAAAATTAACTTCTCATCATAGAATGCTTACTACTTCTTTGACCTCCACTGGCCTCTTTTTTACAAATTCCTTTTGGGGTTTTTGTTTCTTTGTTGGGGGTGCTTCAATGTGTATTCACTAAATTTTAAACAACACCTGAAGCTGTTTTATTCAAACCAGTTACTATAGATATTTTGACAACTTCTGGGGACACAAACGTGCTGGCAAAAAGAGGCGAGAAACTCCATCTGTCATTTTATGAAAGTCAGTCATCTGTCATTTTATGAAAGTCAGTCATCTTGAAAAAAAAAATATATATAGGGCCTTCATTTTGCTCAAAACCTTGGCAATTTTAGGAAAATAGATCATTAACAAAACCACAAACAACCCTCTGGGAAGAGGTGTACATGTACACTGAAGGTGTACAGGTGTAGGGCTTTCTTTATTTTATTTCTTGAAAACCTCACATGAGAAACTACAATACATGTAGCCTCTCTTCAATACATTTTTTTGCAAAATAACTCCAGGTTTGCCTTTTGATTTTTTTCTTCCAAGTAGGCCAAAACTAAGTTATTGAAGTGAGTGCCAGCCATCCTCACCTGTACGTTCTTCTCTGTGTGGGGAAACTTCTTGACAATGTTCTTGAGGCACGGCTCCAGAGCTTTCTCCGACAGGAAAGCTGGACGCGATCTCGGATCTTGACATGCCTGGTGAAAAAAAAACAGTACCGGTAGAAACATTTCAGTCATTTCAATTAGACCCAAACTGGAATGCTGGAAAAGGGTCAAGGTCTCATTTTGTGGGAACAAAACCTGAACTTCTCAAAGTCCTGTGCTATCAAGCAAGGGCTGAAGTTTGTATATGCTGGATTGATCTGGGCTATGTTCGCCCAGATGCCTTCTTCCAGATGTCACAACCAATGATGATATAAAGGGCGTTTCATATTTAAGGGGAATGAGAAAGCTAAGTCATGATACTAGGGACAAGCATAAATGTCAGGGTGCTGTTTATTTGGAAACTCATTTCCTTAATAGGAAATTGTGATTAAAATTTGTCTTTTTCAGCATGCTGTAGCTCCTCTATTTAATTTCCAATTTCAAAATTTTTTGAAATTTCAAGTAAAGCCAGCACAAAATAAAACTCAAATAAGAAGAAAGATTTTTTCAACAAAAATTGTGAATGTTGAGCTTTTCAGTTAAAATCCTGACTCATTTGTGTGTACAAAATAACCACAGTTTGCTTTGTATTATTCAAGTACAAAACTGACAAAAAAATCTCCAAACATCCCAGCTTCAAATGAATTTTTTCTTCGCTTTGCAGAGTCCGATGGAATCCAAACTTATATCAAAATATTTCTCATGACATCCTCTGCAAGATCACTTCACAAATAAAAGGGAAAAAAATAGCTGAATAATTTTTTAGCCTCCCTGTCATGCAAATGAATCGGACGTCTTAAAATTTGGATTGCATTTCACTTAAACATGTTAGATGACAGTTGAGCTTGAGCTAATCAGAATCTCAATCAGAATTTCCCATGCTTGCTCTGCACTGCACATGTACTTTGTGGTCCAAAACAACCCTGCTGCAGCTGCTAGTACTACAGCCTGATCAAATCAATCAAAACTCTTTTCTTGAACTTGCAGAGTCAGGGTCTAGTGACGGTCTGAATACCAGTAGCGATGTTACGCCCCAACTATAGCATAAGTCCCAACTATAGTTGGGACAGTCCCGACTGTAGTGCTGCAGTTGGGCTGGCCCAACTATTGTTGACCAAAGTCTGTGGGAAATGTCCCAACATTATCCAAGTCAATGTGTCTCACATTTGACACAATTCATCAAAAATGTGGCACTTAGCCCTATGACCAATGACATGACATTTGTAAACAATATGACTTTGGCACATGCTGGGCACATCATGCACACAGGACCTCTCTGTTGTAGTTGGGCTGGCCAAACTGTAGCACTCTAGTTGGGTCTGTCCCAACTATACTTGGGACGGGCCCAACTATAGTTGAGTTGGGACTGATAGTTGGGGCGTAACAGCGACATGGTATTGTCAGTAAAGTAGGCCTACATGTACAGTACATGGTGCGTTTCCAACATGTCCAAACGATCTGACGGCCGACGTCCTGACCTACAATTTCATGACATTGTACGTGTACAACCTAACAACAATGTACAGTACGTGTAGGCTACATTACATGGACTCACTTTCTTGATGTTGTACAAACGAGCGAGCATTCCCACACCTCGATCCACCAGAACCGTCAGCTTTTCAGCCAACTTCTGCTGGCTGTGGTTGACTGCCATTATTGAAGCGATTCTCAGCCTATACCCCGACTCCACCAACTGGGTCAAATCTTCAGAATTGGTGCATCTCAGGTGCTGGATCCGATAAAACGCTTGACAATACAGGCGCGGTCACCACACGCATTGAACTGCACACAAACGGAAGCGAGGCTCTTCTGTCAACGCGGAAGTACATGATATTACCCATGAGTCTTTGCAAAAACACGACGGCTATTTTATGTAGCAAACAATACCCCTACGGTGGCCCCGAAAGGACACCGCTTGAAACGCACAAACGGCAGTATCGCTCTCCTCGCTTTTTTTAATCTCCCGAATTAACGTTCCGGTTCCACTCAAAATTGAGGTTTCTAGTTACTGACGGTGTACCCAAACTTCTTTTTCGATCTGCAAATCACGTCTGATGCAAGACTGAACTACACTCCATTCAAATGATCACATGAGTGGCAATTTTCTTCAAGAAATATTTCATGCACTAATATTCGGCTTTATTCTTCAAACCCCCATCAAAAAGGATTGTCCTTTTTTCATATATTAATTGTGCCATATGGCAGGGAACCACAAGAACAGAAGTGACATCATAACAAGAATTCATGTATGATGAGAAACACCAGGAAGAAAACTGTAAATTCAAACTGATATTGAAGCACAGTCTTCAATCCATCGGTATGTAGAGTGCCATCAATTATACTTTGACTATATCAATTAACCCTAACACTCCTCAATCCTTCACCTGTTGGAGGATTGAGGACTGTTAGGGTTAAATTTTATTGGGGTAACTAGAAGTACAATTGCACCTGATTTTAGGAAGCAGCCACAAATGTCTACAATCAATACATATATGTTCTGTTCTTAGAAACACACAGAGCCTTAAAAACTCTCTGAATAATAATTCACAAAGGCTATGGTTGTGTCTATTGTAAGTCCAAACACGAGTCCATTTGAGAAGTCCTTTAACTCACAAGACTCGTCACAAGTAACAGGGTGAACAAAAGGCACGCTTTTACTGCAGTTTACTTGAATGGTTTGTGCCTTGGCTTAAGACTGGATGACTTGTGATGGACTTGATTAGACAAGGCTTTAGGCAAAGGGAAATACTATGATTCAGCCAAGAAACTGAGATATAGAGAGGTCTTTGCTTTCTAAATAATTCATGTCTTTTTCTGGGACTTCATAAATTCTTCCAGCATCCTGATGACCATGTCGTTCTCCTCTTCGTTGACTAAGCTGGAGATCATGTCGTCCAGCCCCTCCCCTCCGGACAAGAAGCCCTCTACGTCAAACACAGATTGACTGATCCGGTGATCAGTCACACGGTCCTGCTGGAAGTTGTACGTCCGGATTTTCTCTGAACGGCCCGACGTCCCGACCTGGCTTTGCCTCATGGACCGCTCGGTCATCTCCCGGTCCTCCGAGATGGCATTGTAGATCTTCGTCTGGAGCAAGGTCAGGGCAATGTTCCGGTTCTTGAGCTGGGAGCGTTCTTGCTGGCTCTCGGCAACGATCCCCGAGGGGATGTGTAAGATGCGGACAGCACTGTCGGTAGTGTTGACATGTTGGCCACCAGCACCAGATGCTTTCTTAGTCTCGATGCGGAGATCTTTGGGATCCAACTTCAGATCAATCTAAGGATCAGAATCATAAAACTTCATTTTTGCAATTATTGTTAACCCTACTGGTCAATAAAAAACTTTACCGTTGTCGATGAGAAAAACTGATTCACTGTGCAAGCTACAAATTATGGCAGACGTCACGTAATTTCTAAGAATTTTCTTTTTAACTTTAACAGAGCCCGTGGGAGGAAAACCCTGGATGAATAGTCCAGGGAAAACCCAGGACGTCAGGCAGGGACTGAAAACCCAATCCACATGCTGAACTAATAGTAGGTGGGATTCGAACCCAGGTCGTAGAGGTGGAAGGGGAGGAACCAACCTGGCTCCCCAATTGTTTGTGCCTATCCTTCAGAGCGATGGGTGGCTAGATAAGACAGTTTTTTAAGGGTCATTTCACAGACCACTTATCCTTCTCGGCATGTTGAAAACACCATGAAAATGTTGGCATACAATAAATGCAAGAAAACATGTACATTAATGAATTTTTAAGGGATCAAGCTTTTTCAAAGTTTCAAGGTATGGTCAAATTCCGAAGGATTTATTGGGGTCAGAGGTCATGTACCTCCGTTGGTTGAGGTAGCACAGCGACGGCCATCGTACTGGTGTGAATCCTGCCCGCTTTCTCCGTCTTTGGGACTCGCTGAACGCGATGCACTCCAGCTTCATGCTTCATCAGTCTGTACGCTCCATCGCCACTTAAACTCACCGAAGCGTGTCTCAAACCACCTGAACATCAAAACAAAGAATGACTTGCATTACTTTCCTGTCAAACAGGCAACTACTAGCCACACCTGCAAGAACAAATAGATTATTTCCCTTATGGCGTTTGGCTTTGAGCTTTCAAGAATTTTTTTCAGAGAAAAGAAATGACTGAAATTCAAACATAAGTGATTAATCTGTAATTACTCGCCTACAACAAATTATTAATATAACTCTAATAAAAGTCAGCTCAAACAACATAGTAGCATATGTGAATATCCGATCTCACTTCCACCACTGGTGAATTTTGCCAAAAACAAGTCTTACGGTAAAATCAGTGTTCGGTTCTACGTTCGTGCCATGTGAAGGGATAACAATGGAATATTGCCTCAAACAGACAGTCGTAAAATGTGTTGAATGAAACGATCTGAAAAACAGGTGCAATTATTCAAACTTGATGTATACAAATCTATAACTACAAAGATGAACAAAGAAATTGACTGGAGTGGGATTTGAACCTAAGACCTCCCGAATACAGCGCTGGTGCTCACTCTACCAGTTGAGCAACCCAGCCGTATGTTGGCAATCCTTCCATTTGTCAATATCTTTGTTCAGTTTGTCTGTGCTAGTCACAACTAGCTATGGACTTGTACCTTGTCTAGCCGGAGATCACACGTACAAGGTCACAATGGGCTGCATTTGAATCTGTTGACCAGAGCTAGGCCGAGACATTTCATTCTATTGGAAATATGTGGAGATAGAAATAAACCTAGCCATAGCTCTGGAGGCCTGTTTTAGACATGGCCTTAGCAACGTTGCAAACTGATAATATGGATAATTCACAATGCCAGTGCGCCACCAAGAGGTTGCCACAGAGAGGCCATTTTGTGGGAAAACGGTTGACAAAGTTCTGTCAACAGCTTGAATGGTTGTCAGTGTGTGTTTGTCTGAAAATAAGATACGTGAGAGTTTCTTCAGTATCGTGAATTAATCAAGATCATGCTTTTTTTGTGTGTGTTTTTTGTGAGGTAAGAAGTGTCTTGGAAACAACGTTTCCCCGAAGTTGCCAACTGACTTACCAGTCAAATGCACATTTTGATAAGTCAGCCAGGTTTTTGTTGACTGTAAATTTGAAAATGGCCCCTCTGTGACAACCTCTTGACCCCTTCGCGCCGGGATTCTTTTGACCGCGACTGCTGGGCTGTGGTCTGCCCTGAATGGAGGGCTTTGTCCAGCAGCAGGCCCCATTGAACCAGCAGCTGCATGATGAATAGACTGTATGTGTGGTATGTACTAATCCTCACACAAAGCCGCCGCTCTTGCAATCTCCCGGAGCAAAGGGGTTAATGCCACATCATTTTTTTCAACACGTACCCAAGTCTGTGGTGAAATATTCCAGTTTCTGAAAATCCCAGTTCTTGTAAGCAGCGAACCTCTCGTACATCTCAAACATGTCGGCTGTAAATAGCATGGCCTCCTGACCTCCGACCCCAGCCGAGAACTCCATGATGATGTCATTATCGTCAGTCTCATCCGCAGGAATGATAAGGCTGAGAATCTAGGGGAAAAAAGTAATAAATGTATGAAGCTGTGATGCCCTCAGATGGATGAAAGGAGACACATGAATGTGATTCAATCACACAAAATAAGTCTCCAACACAAGACATAACTTCTTTCTGTAGTTTGACTTCCATCACTTTTGAGCCAAAAATCGCATCAGCACTGGATTTTCAAACAACAAAGTTGGCTTGGTGTTCACTTCAATATTCATATATCAATATGCTGACCAGCGTCGACAGACTGAGTTTGCTTGTACAAATGTAGCAGGAGGGTAACTGCACACGTAGACTGCAGTCCAACAGAGAACTAGACAACAGGCAGCTCACGAAACCGACAAACAGATTTCTCCGACCTAACTTGGTAAGTGGCATGAGTAAATTTTGTCCAAATGTTCACACTTTGCTTGCTGAATACTGCACACTCTCAAGGTTTGAAGGCTTTAACCCTCCTTTGGTTTTACGGCACAAATGTGCACAAATGCCCACAGTCACTGGTGAGCATGTAGTTTCTATATGGAACTCAACCATGCACAGGTTCAGTGTGTACACAGTAGG